TGGATCTGGTTGAAGAAACAGAAATCTGGTTCAAAGATAGCTACGAGATTTTTGGAGACATCCGAGCAGCCTCCAACAACTTCCGCCTGCTGAAGGCTTATAAGCAGGGTGGTGTGTGTGTGGGCAGGGTGGTCAAGGCTTGCATCAACGTGGATAGCAATATCACCAAGGCTCTGGTATATTGAGTCTTAGGTTGACACTCTGCTGAATTTAATAGTTTGAACTGTGCTGGTCAATGGTGAAAGCCCCTAACATGTAGCTATGTTAAATACATGTCCAGAACATGTTGCAGCATGTAAACTAGCTTATTGGCAACTGACCACAATTTTTTCCCCAGTATTTGTTGAATTATACTCGTTTAAATGGTTAGTCAAGACCTTGGCCATCATGTACATTAGGGCATCATGGGTTAGCTGGTTATGTTTAAATAGTATAAAAAGAGGTGTTATTATGCAATGCAATGCAATACAATGCAAACTTGTAATTTCTGTATTTTTTAAATAAATATTTATGCTATGGTGAAGAGGTTGTTTCATTTATAATTAATTTGTTGACTGACAGAGAGTCAAGCATATTTTTTGCCTGAAAAGCATTTAATGATATTGGATAGGGCTCAGTGATCTAAAATTGTACAATATCGACTGGTCTCTAAGGTCAGTGATTGGGAGAACATCAGCTGTACTGTTACCAAAAATGTCCTTTCAGAGTTTGCAGTCTGTTGTGATACTGGCTTCAAAGTTGTTGTCAAACAGGCCATACTTAAAACTTTTAGTAACTGTAAGAGTAGCAGATTGTGAAAATGCCACTGTAACAAGCTAGAATTTGACTGCATGTGCATAAAGTCAATGATGTTATCCGGCATTTGGACCAAATGGTAATAACCTTAATGTATGTAAAGTTGAAAATGAATAGAAGGGACAATTGTCACTAAGTAATGTTAGGGATCTTCATCTGATGTTGTCAACCACTATACAACCAACAACTTAGACATACCCCTGGTATCAAGCTCTAAGTTATGGCAAAAAACATGAAGCCAAATAAAGCTGTACAGTAATGTACAATCATAATGCTGGTGAATTTTGAATGTACATGTATTCAATGATTATAGTCTCAAGTAGAAACACCTTGCAACAACAATGGTACTGTTCATGTCAAACTGCATATTGTCCATGAAAATCTACGGAGTTAGTCAACCCTGGTTGTATGTAAAATTAAATGAAGCAAAAGAAGAAGAAGATCTGGATCATGATTTACTCCACTAGATCCGTGCTGTTTCCTCCAAGAGCGTGAAGATTTTCAACCATAAAGGTTTTGGGTGACCGGCTTTTTGAGCTTGCACAGATCAAACTGGTAACGGCGATCCCTGTAAAAAAATACAGAATATAGAGATTCATTTAATTGAACTGTTGTCCACCTAAAGGACCAAACACCAACCAATCGCATGTATGACGTTAAAACGTGTAATGTATCTATTATCATTTGGTGATAGTTGAAAGCCCTTTTACATGAAGCCAAAATGATCATAAGAGGGTAGAATATATGAACCCACCCCCTTTGACGCTTTATCATCATCATCATCGCTATAACTAGATTTACACTAAAGCTTTAATATTGCGTCTCAGAAGAACGTACCTCTTCCCTGCGCTGACGTCACTACGAATCCCGCGCATGTAGTAGGCGGAGGGGGAGGAGAAGTCCATGACGTCATTCCACTCGTTGGCTGGGAGGGTGGTCAGGCAGTTGTACACGAGGTACGATCCCGGCGTGCAACACTTCACCTTCCATCGCCTGTCTTTTCGGTCAGCCCGGAAAGTGCTAAACCATATGGACAGGGTAGGTGAAATTAATAAAAATTCAATTAACTCTTAGCCATTCCTGTCGAGTGGTGGTTTGTCAAAAGATTGACCTTAGTCCACCTACACATTGTAGGTCCACGTATACTAGTATCCAGAACTCGCACTGCCTGCAATTCTTGGATTCACGGAGACTACTAAAAGTAGCTGCTACCATGCCAGACATAGAACTAGATACGAATACGGTTCTGGATACGATATGTGTCCATTGCAAACTCTGACGAACTTTAATATATCCAATGATCCGAGAGGCGAAAGCAAGCAGCAGACCACAATGATGTGTCCGTGGGGAAGACCTCACGCGACTCACGCTTTCATTAGTAAGAGACGCCCTCTCGGATCATCCGATAAGACGTTAAGTGGGAGTTTGAGGAGAGGCACACTTCGAGCACGATAAAGATCCGGGCCATCACATTTATGTAAACAGTACTACATATGTATGTATGTGTATATGTATAGGGGCCCATCCGTGGATCAAACCTAACAGTCCTGTCTTACGCAGCCGCGCCTGTTCTTACTGTATGAGGGTCTGCATGGGGGGGTCCTGGCAACGGTTAATGGTAAATTCAGCAGGGCCGATAACGCTTAACGGTAAATTCAGGACGGTCGGCAACGCTTAACGGTAAATTGACAGGCTTTTTTTTCGAGCTGCACTGGATTTGGTATCTCGCTTTGTGAGAAAAGGTGATCACTGACAAAATTACGTATACCTTACATGTAATGAAGCATGCATTAAAGGTATGTGTTCCCTGTGTTTCCCACCTGCCCTGGTCCCCGAGTGCGTCCACAATTGCAAATACCGGGGTGTCCGAGTCGACGTCGGCCAGCTTGCATTTTTTCTGCCCAGTTTTCTAGGGGGGTCCGGGGGAAATTTAGGATTTTGAAGCCTTCAAAAACGCAATTTCCTGCATTTTAAGAGGCAAATCATGGTGTTGAGAGTGTTTGTCGGTCCTTCTGATGTTTTCATATTTTACTCAAGATTTTTGTTAATTTGCCTGTCAAGGTTGACGGATTCATTAAAAAAATTCTGTAACTCTCCGCAAACTTCCGGAAATTGAAGGGAAAACTGGTTCTGGCTAGAGCCGAAGGGACCGAGCGCAGAAGTGCGAGTCGAGCGCCAAAGGCGCGAGCAATGGTAGGGGGGGTCCGGGGGCATTCTCCCCCGGGAAATTTTGTATTTTTAAACCTTCAATGACGCATTTTCCTGCACTTTGAAAGGCAAAATTAGGGCGTAACGAAGAATTATTCATTAACGCTCAACGCTGAATTTAGGATG